CATTTTTTTGGGGGGGGGAAATCAATTTTTGGGGGGCACAAAGATTTGAAAATTATTTATGTAACTTTTTATTGCCTTTCTAAGGGGTGAGGCTACATTTGGAGGCTTGTGGCATGCGTTTGATAATCATCAGTTTTTACCCAACTGATACTGGTAGACCTACACATTGTTGACGCAGTACATCAGTTCCCTTCAGGGCATTAGGGTAAATCCTTGTGCTCAGAGGAGGCTGGGTTCATTCATTACAGTTTCAATAGATCCTCAATACATATTTTACTCTGATCAGGACTTCCCCTGAGTTTTACCAGACCTCTGCAACAGTATTGTGCAGGTTCATTCTCTCTTTCCTGGTAAAATGGATTGTTCACACAGAGCACCAAAAAAAATGTTGGCATAATCGCTCCCATAATAACCAACACTGCTCCCCAGCTGACACAAATAATTTTGTCACAGTGGTGCGATGCTGAGCCCTAAATTTGACACTTCCTCGGCATGTACCAGTGCCCAAAGTTGGGGTTGGGAGAGAGAGAGAGAGAAAGAGATTGGGATGAAATCAGTCTGACAAACAAACGGCAAAAAATAAGTACTCAGCTCTTTACTAGCCTAGGGCAATTTGCATGGACGACCTTCTGTAGTGCAGGATGGCACAGAGCTTAGGTACATGTATGTTTAACCATTCTCAAGGGAGACTGGGTGCATATGTTACCAGGGACCAGGCATTTGCACTTACGGCATTCCCTCTGTAAGTTTTGACTGTTCTTCATAGTAAGCTCACAGGAATGATGAATTCCCCATTCTCATAAATTCGCCCCACCATCAGTATTATTTTTCCTCTATGAAATTGCAGTCGCCTGCGTAAGACTTCATTGTTTGGCAATAACTGCATCACCATGGAAACAAACCCAAAAAATTGAATTTGTAAGTGGCATCCATGGCAATGGTTTTTCTTTGCCCCTGTACATCTCTTTTTTTTTCTTTTTTTCTTTTCTTTTTTTTTTGCAATTACGTACATTTACATGTACGCGTACTGTTGGATTGAAGTGAATTGCATTTCTTTACTTCAGACTAATTTTGAGCAACCAAAAAAAGAGAATCTCTTAAGCAATTCAGTGGATGACTCAGTATTGAGGAATATGTCTTTTCAGGTGAGGGTTCTTTTCTAATAAAATTTGAAGGCCTGCGGCAATTGCACCCCAAGCAAGAAATGCTTGGCAGATTTCTCAGTTCCCAAGAAAATGTCCAGCAGTGGGAGACTGGTGGATTATTGTGGGAATCTGTTTGCCCGGCAATTATGCTAACGCACAGCCCTGTGTCCTGTTCCTGAACTTGGAACTCTTCCAAAAAAGCCCCTCTTGAGAGAATACAATGTGTACAATTTTTGCATCCACAGAACATGGAAGCATGTTGTGTGGGCTTTGGGTGCCTACATGTTTGGGTGCATGTGCATGTATGTACGTGCTTAGTGTGTTTTTTTTACTGTTGTAATGTCTCCAGGGTGCTAGGGAGAGGGAAATGTCGGAATGCACTGGAACACGGAATTAAAGCAAATGACAGTCATTTCTTCCATGTGTGGCAATCACGCTGCACAGAATGAAATACTTCAGCTGTTTTAATGGTCTCAGTGTAGCATGACAGTGGGAGGGCAGTGTTTTATTAATTTGCAAGGTTGATATCACCCGTGTAAGAGATGCTGCATCCATTGTAAAGTATGCCATTGTGACAAATATGAATAAGTACACTACAGATTGTACTGCTGTCTAATTAGATAAGGCATACGCTCACTCAGCATATGTCAAGGGGCCACAGAGAGGTATTTCTGCAGCATTCATAAGAAACTCCCTTTTAAAATCAATTCCAAAAGAAAAATTCCTGTTTTCGGATTTATTTAGAGGGCGTACCTTGTAAACCGTCACTTTTATTATAATACCCAGTACTTATCATTACTTGGCACTTAGTATACGTACCGGTAAGACAGCAAGATTGCATGTCCACGGGTAGATACAAAATGTTCATGTAACGGGTGGTCTCATAACATGCAGGTGTAGACTGACACACAATTTTGTTTAAATTTTAAAAATGCCTTATGAAAGTTGTTTGAATAAAACTGGTCTTAACATTTCCAGTAGCCCATCTTACATGCACAGTCAGCTGTACAGTGTTAGCCTACTAAATTAATGTAGGCATATTGGATTTGTGTACGACTCATGAGCAGGTGCCAGAATGTGGTTCATTCACTTTGAACTCAACTGGAAGTGGTCATGGTTGAATTGTGGCGATTAAGATTAGATCTTGTTGCTAATGTTTCCTTTCTTCATAAGCAGAAACGATTGATTCATGATAACAGGAAGTGATACCAGTCCATGCTCACTAGTCATGTGCATGTACTGGGTTGTTTCGAACTGGGTTCCTGTGCATTTTGACACACTAATTCCACTCAAAACTGCTTATACCATTCACAACACCGTCGCACAATGCGACTGTACATATAAGCACGTAAAGGTTACATGTGCATGTACAGTGTACCTGGGGTACCATGCAGATGTATTTTGTGGCATTCTTTTGGACAGAAACACACAGTTTTTATTTCATGTGTGACTGGGTAGTAAGAAGTTGTGCTGTGTTTTTAAAAAGTTAATTTTTGGAATTTGTGTACATGGTTTGAGTCCCCCCCCGGAGATGGATTCTCACCATTTAAATCTGCTCCAGTTTAACTTTATTGTACTCCCCTTAACTTCAGTTATTCAGCAAGTGTTCAATTGATATTGCGTGTCAAGTGCATGTTGATGACTCTGTACTCATGGGCATTGTTTGCCTCTGAATTCAAACGACTTCAAAGAAATATTGAAGAACTCTTCAGTCAGTTAATTTTAAGAGAATATTCACTTTGCAATGGCTGACATCACACCATGAAGAAATTGCTAAGTGCATTAGCCTGGAGGCATGGTACGGGTTTTACCAAGAAATGCAAAGTGTAGTGGAATTTTTGTTGAGATGGTCATCACACGTGACACATGGTTGGGGAATGCAGTATCCCTCTTCCAAAATGAAAGAGCCCATCCCTTGCCCCCCCCTCCCATTTACTTTTCCAAATCACCCATCTGAAGGACTAGATCTTAGCGTGGAATTGTTTTTTTTTTTACTGCTGTACTGCTATCCATGGCTTGGTGGGACAAATATCCTCACATGTCTTTCACTTTCTGTTTCAATGGGGCTTTGGGACACTTAGCACGTGCTCGCTGAAGTATTGTTCAGGCATTCAAGCATGCATGTACATGTACACATGTACAGTACAGTGTACATGTACATGCATAGACAGGGAACACGTGACAAGACCGGCAGTCCTGTGGCACACGTGCAGTCAGCATTTTGTCAAAGTGAAAGCCGTATCCATCGGACACTACACGTGGAAAACTTGTTATTTCCTCTTTTTTTCCCCTCTTTTGCCTGAAATAAATGTATTTATAACCAGACCTCGTGTCTTTTGGATCATTGTAGAGGAGAACCTTCAGAATTTCAGGGGACTGGTAAGTCTTTCGATTTTTCTCTCAGTATTTTGAATGGAATGTGTACTTTAATACTCATCACCACACCTGTACCACTTTCTTCATTATGAAAGATTGTACATGTAGTAGGACTGGAGTCCAAGACTCAGACTCAATTAAGTCCTTCTCAAGTCGCATTTTTGCATGGCATCATTTACTTGACTTGAGTCACATTGGCAAAGGACTCAGAGTCAACTGTGAGGACTTAACACTGATGACTTGTGACTTATACGAGTCACTCATTCACCAGCAAAAATATTACATGTATTCCCATAAATTTATTTCTTGCATTTGACTTGTGTCGTTTGGCAAGTAACAGCATTCTTAAGGCCAAAAAAAAAATCTTTCGTCTCTGGTCAGTGCATGCATCGATTTCAACCATGCAAGTGAATCTTTTTTTTCTCTGCAAGAGCTGCAACAGTGCCCCCTATTGCCGCACTGCCTCAATATTTTGTGGGCAGTTCGATCTTTTACTCCTGAAGGGTGATAGATCCCGACGAGAGTAATATTGAACAAGTGGATAGCAGACTATGGATATGAAGTTGTTGTCAGCTTACATGTACATGTATAATCATAATAAAGCTGGTCTAGTTCCTTGACTGGACAATGTGTGTCTGCAATTGTCTGTACAATCCAACCCTAGAGGAAAAAAAAGCTGTGTCGCCGCATCTATAAGCCTTTTGCGAGTTAAATTTGAATAAAATCTGGTACACTGACTTCTTTAAATTCACGTGAACATAACAATTGGAATTCTCCATACTAAAGCCACAGTTGCTATACCTCGTGATTCGGGGCAAGCTTTTCCTTAGTTACATAAGAGACACCTTGCAACAATACACTGTTCTCAATGGATAAGAAGGGCACAAAGGAATCAGTCCATTCCAGAGATGGTGGTTGCTATGCAAAAGCTTGCCCTGAATCACGAGGTATAACAACAGTATCTTTAGTCTGTGGAATTCAAATTGTTATGTTTATGTGCAATAAGATAACTCAGTGTACCAGAGTTATTGAAATTTATCTCACAAATGGCTTATTCCGGAACCTCAGTCTGATGTGATTGAAGAGGTATTATTTAACACACAGGTACCCATACATGTACTGTACGTACATGCTGCACGCAATTAAAAGTGGGTTATCACTGTAGTAATGGCATCTACATGTAATTTTTGTCGTAAACCTGATTAACCTGGTACATGTATAGAAAATACACCTTTGCACCAGTACCTTATAAAACACATGTACGATAAGTACCAGTATGAATTTGGCTGGGCAGTGACAGTCATAAAACTAAGTCTGTATGTGCCCTCTTAAGGCAAATTCACATGTGTCCCCGTATACGGCTGAGTGCACAGATGTTGTGCACATTTTCACGTTGAAGGGGCTGAGCAACTGATTGCCCACTTAGTGGTGATTGAGCTCATCGAAAGGTACCCATACCCAGCCATACAGGCAGACATACATGCACACACCTTAGTGTAGTTAGACAACTAGTAGAGAGTTTAGAGGAGAAGGAACAATTGGAAGAAAAGAGGAGAAGGTATGTTTGTTTGTTTGTTCAGAGGAGGTGTCTTTCGATGTTTAATATTTTTTGTGTTCAGATCAGGTAGGATTTCATAAATCTACTTTCCATTCTTATAAAGTCAGCGGGACTAGAAATGAAAGTCAAGGTACATGTACATGTTGCCGTAAAGTGAGTTGGCAAGGTCTGCAGTGTGTCCCGTATTCCGCAGACTTTATAGCGCACAAGAAGGAGAACGTGTCTTTAATTGCAGGTGCCTGATATAAATACTGTCGTGACTCTGTCAGTGTGTTTGGTGCACGGTCCATCTTGCAGTCATTGGCAAGTCTGTATAAATTGCCCTCTCTCTGAGGGCTGCTGCACTCTGCTGCTTCCATGACTATAATAGCTGCCCTGCCCAATGTTCGGTTCACTGACGTTGCGCTTGACGTGGCCGTCATATAATAAGATTCCAAAGAGACGCTAACTTCTTGCTCCGGGCCTGTATCATTGCTTTAACAGGCAATGCAAGCCAAACATTTCTTTGAGGTTTTTCTTTCATTTGCACCCCCCCACCATTTTCCTTGTGCATCGGGACCGGATTTGATGTTTGCGATAGATAACGCAGGCCTGCGGGCATTAATGGCATGGTGCTTCAAAAAAATGAAGTGGAAAATTAATTTGGGGTTTGTTGGCATCGGTAACGGGTAAAAATCGGCTCACTCAGGTTTATTACATTTCCAATTTTTGCCTGATGACGCTTAAAATAGATTCAGATTAGATTTGATGTTGGATGCGTAGAATACATGTACACAGCATTCTCTCTTTATAAAAAGGATATGTTACAGTCATTATAGCACAGTTTGCAGAGCAAATCTCAAAATCTCAACATTCTGTGGAAGTGTGACATTCACATTGTGGCCTTTACAGTATTTATTGTCACAGGAAGATCTTTCCTTATTCACCTACTAGTACATGTAGCTGGCTGCCTCTTCAAATTGTCACTCTGATGAGAGATGAAATGTACCTGTCTGTGTACCTGTCTGTGTGCCTGTCTGTGTTCATGTACACCGTACAAGAGGTACATGTATATGCAGAGGTGTACTTGAATGTTGTCAGCGCATCTTTCTGAAGGCATAAATTGCATGTTCCAGCTCTGCATGTAGCGCCTAATAGAGATTTTTTTTTCACTATTTTGTGAAAGCAACCAAATAAATATTCTAGTGGTACTGGGTATGTATACATACGTGTATGTGCCCACTGACCACCAGATATATATACATGTACATGTATCTACATATAAGTACGCTGTGCACTCTGTATAGCAGCTGTAGACATTTAGAAATGAGCTAGTCAGGGATGACTTTCAGCATTCTCTGTTACAAAACTCCATTGTTGTCAAGAGAAAATATATCTTAAGGCAGAGAGAAAGGGGCTTTCCCTCAATTTCCTGTATCCAACACCCCCAACTGAAAAAAAAAACCCACCAACAGACAGGCACCATTTAAGCCTATAAAATACACGGCAAAGACAAATGATTTAAAATGATTACAGCATCTCCAGGCAGACTCTTTAACTTTTTTTCTCTGGCTGTTTTCCCCAGCACCAAAAACCTTCTTTCTCCTTTGCCTCCTTTAAGTATTTCCCATTACTTTTTTTTGGAATCGCCTGAAGAATTTTCTCCGTTCCTACAGTATTCCTCGGCCGCGGCACATGTAAATTGATGCAATCCAAAGAGAAAGAGGATGGGGGGGAAAAAAAGGAAAAGAAAGAACTGAGGGTCGATTTGTGGTAATGTATCAAAAGTAATACCGCCGCTTTGGTTTTGGTCAGTGAATTACATGCACGTCCATGTACACTGCCCCAAGGGGAACCAAAAGAACGGACTGTTTTGGTCTGGAAGCTCCGAGATGGCCTCAGCATACAGTGCACCAAGGGAGACGAAGTACATGTATACAGAAGTGCTGTGCGAGGTGGTCTTGTGGGACGGCTCCAAGATCTTAACCACAGATTGGTTGTAAACGTGATTGCCATCCAAATCTACATGTAGCTTCTCCATGGTGGCAAAAACCTGGACAGAAGCATTAATTCTGTGGAGCATCTGCTGAAAGACAGTATACTTGGCAGCGTTTGCAACATGGATGTTGGGCCAAGTGAATTGAAGTAATTGGCACACTTTTTGAAGTCAGTGAAAGAAGATGGCTTACATGTGTACGTGTACATTTTTGAGTAAACAGTGTATTCATTTGTGGGGGCATCATGATAAATTGGTTCATTGTCAATGCTTGTTTGTTGTCAGCCAAAGCGGTTTAACAAAAAAAACAACAACAAATGTTTCAATGAATAAGAAATCCTGATTAAAATCAACATTTGAATAAGTTCTCGTCTTTTTTTGTTATATATTTGTCACACTCTCTGCTTTTTGTTTTTGCCTCCTCTTGCATCAATTTCATTATTCCCAAAAAGTATACATGTAAATGTTCCCAGTGCCAGCATGCAACACTCAGAACAAATGACAGTTGATGTGAACAAATTAAGGTTTTTAATATAAAAAGGGGTTTACCTGTGCGTACATGTACACGTGTGCAGAAGAAGGAGGTCAGAGAAAGATAAGATTGGAAGAGGAAAAACAGAGGAGAAATTATACTTCAAGGCAAGCACATGAATATGCATGTACATGTACCAGTACAACTGCTACTTCATTTATATATGTATTTTTATTTGTACCTGATCATAAATATACACATGATTGCACAGGTGGTTAGTAAATTAAACTCTCAATATCTTGCTCATGAATATAAAAAAGCATGAAGCATACAGTCATGTTGCCAACCAAAGTGTGATATTTTCTAACAACTCAAATGAGACACAGTTCTATTGGCATACCGGTACATGTCTGTGGGAGCGATATTTTTCCCTGTTGCTTAAATGTTCCATTTCGTAAGTATTGAAACAGTTACATGACATCGGTGATGGTAGAACTTTATTAGGGTTGTAAAATATAGCAGGCCTGCCTGGTGAGATTTGCTGGCAGTGGTGTAGGCCTATGTAAATGCGCATTTATTTTTGCATAATGCAAGGTTCAGAGGATTCCTAACGAATCCCCTGCTTACAACATGCAGTCTAGTCCTCATGCGTCAAACATTCAAGGCTAGGTCGAGTACAAAAAAAAGGATTGGAATGACCTTTGTCATTTAAGGACAACCTCCGCTGTGTTTTTACAACACCAGTGCCGTCTGTTGATTGGTTGCTGAGCTGTGAATTCCAGACAGAGGTCCCCTGAGCAGTGTCAATTAAAGTAAGACTTAATATCTAGCGAGGCTAGGCACTAGACTATAAGTCAATAATACACTTGACCCAAAAAGTTGCCTTCTGTCCCTTCCCCATTTTCCGATGGAATGGCTACATGGTCACGGAAGATCGTGCAACAACAGTACGAGCTTGGGGTCCTGTTTACCAAATTAGACCAGTACGAGAAATGAGATTGAGGGAAGGGAAGCTGTTTGGTTTCTGCTGGGTTTAGTGCCTGGATGTGATTCGCTTCCGTTTGGCCGAGGAAACTGTCCCTCGTCGTTACGGATGAAATTAATTTGGGGAGGGTTGTTGCTGGGGTTGATTGTTGGGATTCCCTCAAGGTTAGGATATGTGTACCTCGGGGTGTGGGGTGTTACCGGTACGTTTGCATTGGCTGCTCAGCTAGTGATGCATGACAGCTATTATCCGGGTGAAGGTTACTACTGAGTTGCTTTTTTTTTCTTAACAAGCAGGAGGAAACAGAAAAAATCAATATAGAGGTTTGGTGTTTGGGGGTTCTGAGCAGAAGTACTGGAATGCCATTCGTGCTTTTGTGCTTGGTACCCATGCACATACATATATCCCTTGGGTTGCTTATCAACACTTGTGTGGGATAGGGAACCAGTGTGTGTGGCAGTATTGAATTTTGTTGCTTGGTTAAACCTGACTGTATGGACACTTGATTTGTTCCATGGATGTAATTTGTTGACTCATTTTCGTCAATCTGTCTCCTGGTACTAGTACTTGAAAAAAAAAAATATTGAAGTAGAATTTGTCATTGAGCAACATATCAGCCAGAAACCAGTCATAAACATTACACATTGGTGGTACCCTGTCTTGGCTAGGCAGAATTCTTCTGAGCAAGTTCATGGATACAAGGTACCAAGACGTGAGTGTGTGCATCAACCTGTAAAAGAAGTTATTTGCATGCTCTACGACGCTAGGCAGTTTCCATAAATTGAATCACTGTTGCTTCAGATAGTAGAGCAGGCTTAGGCGACAAGAGGTTTTCAAAAACTTGACACCTCACATCTATCTCTTGCTTCACCTCCAACAACTTCCAACCACTTGAAGGCCTAGTGTTCAAATGAAGTAAAAATACTGAGGTCTTCGTGTTAATTGGCATCACCCAGTTCAATGCTCATCAACAAAGCATGACTTTTGGTTGAGTTTAAAAATCTCCATAGTTGAAAGGGCGAAAATCAGGCAGAGCCAGTAATGGAGACAAAGGCATGATTTGAAAAAAAAAATAAAAAAGCCTTGTGTGTGAAAATCCTGAAAGTGACATGGTGTAAAGCAGCTTTCACCCTGGCATTCACATGAAGGCAGTCAACATGCTGGAAATTTGCACATGGTGCTTGTTTTAATGACTGACAATAAAGACCAGCCACTGGATTAAGGAAGTACCTTATCCACTTTGCTTGCCACATCCAATGAAAGTCAATTAAAGCTGGTAACATCTCTGCTATTGTGCTAGCTAAGTACCAGGTGTGATGAATCATTTGCAGCACCTGCCCTCATGAACTCTGACAAGTCTGTTCACCAGGAGTCCTCAATTACGATTTCCCATGTGTCACTAATTGGTGGCTGGCAATTGTTGTGATTCCTGGAAACCCCACAAAACAGTTGCACCTTGGTTGTTTTCAGCGCCAGTGATAGGAAAGTTTTGAACACATGTATGCAGCTTTCATTAATTTTTGGGCTGTTTCACTTTTCTTGTGAGAAGCTTCATTCTCCTGAGGAAGGCAAGATGTTTTTTAGGAATTTTTAAAATGTGATTGGCGGGGGTACATGTACATGTAATTATGATGTTGCACCCTCGTCGCCTCGTCGTTTACAAAGTCACTTTTTGCCTGTCCTGCAATTCAACCCCTCTGCAAAAATAAATAACTGGCTGTTACCACCGCATCTCCAACTGAAATGTACATAGTACACCTTTGGTTTTGTAAAGGTAAATGTTATACTTGGTTATTGTAAGAGGATTTAAGAGGTACATGGATGCAGAACTACATGTACTAGTACATATTTTGATGAAAATTATAATCAAGCCATTCTTTGTATCGCCACTTGACAGGATATCGCAAGAAGCGCGTCAAAATGTCACCACTTCCATCAGTCAGAAGGGAGATGGTCCCTCCATCGGGGGTCAGGCGGAGGTGTCGGCAAAGACCTCGCTGAGACGCAGCCGATCACGGCAGTCGTACAGTCGTGATGAGGAGAGAAGCGAACGCCAGGTGAGCATGTGACGCTTCTGATTAGTTGCCATCAAATATGCATGATGCCTTGACACGATGTTCTGCAGACAAGAGCAACTCATTTATTTTGAGTATATCTGGCTCCCTACAGACAATAATCCCTGGAAGCTATATCATTCGTCAAAGACTTTCCTGCACAAGGGTTGATTCTCAAAATATAATGAATATATCTATATTTCTGGCAATGTCAACATTTTAGATTTGAAAACCCCTTTTTGGCAATAAATTGCTATACTGGTATCATTTTTGAAATTGCTCACCTTTTTACTTGTTGTTGTACTGTTATTTACAAAAGCTGAGCCCAAAACCAAAGATTGTTAGCACGGTAATCAATTTTTGTGATCTGCAGTTGCGAAAGTTGCAGACATAGCTTGATTCATACAAACGCTGAACAAAATACATGTAGAAGGATCTTTCTCTATTGCTGTGGTCCAACGTGGAGCACAGATTACATGTAGGAAGAGTGTCATCGCAATCTGTCAGTTTTGGCCAGTGGACAACCCTAGTACAGTTTTGTACTCGACCATCAGTGAGGCAGTGTACTGGTACTTGTGCTGTAGCCGGTGCTTCATTGTGTTATTGATACCTTCATGCTCAAACGATGTGTGTGATGATGCAAACCCACCACAAAAGGCCACAAAACCTTGACTGAGTTTTGAATGGTGTAGTGTGTGACTCGATGACATCTTCTAGTGCAGAGCTGTGCCCTCTCAATTCTCTGCTGTTGTATGGATTGAGTAGCCTCATGAATGCCTGACATCCATCTATTGTCCATTATTGTAATTTGTTTTTACAAATTGAGAGCTTCCAAGTCGGTCATTGTCATAAGTGATGTCTGACTCTTCATCTGTGAGTTGGGCAATTTTACAATTCCTTTTTGCCTCTAAAAGGGTACTCCTCCTCCGATTACCTGATCAAGTGATTGGTTGTGTGGTGCGCATGTAACTGGACCACTAGATCTGTCACTGAAGTAGAACAACTAGGCATATCTTTGTAAGTTTCTCCAAGCATAAAATTGAGGAAGGAAGGAATCATGTTTATTGGGGGGGAGGGAGTTTTCTCTCTCTCTCTTTCTGCTGGTAAGCATGTGTAAATTCTAGCATGCCTGTGGACGTCACAAGACATGGAATGAAGCAGGCTCTAAGTGGTGTCAGAATCAATGGCATTTTTTTTATTTAATCATTATTTTGCCCTCCGCGTGTCCACAGGCAAGAACAAAAGCTTGGGAATGCGGCAAATCGATCCTGACGTCAGCCAGTACTCTCTGGGGGGAAAAAAAGGTGTAGTGGTTCACATGAGCTTTATGTTTTGTCCCCTTCGGTTTAATCTGGCGGGGGGGGGCAGGAGGCCTTGAAAAGCAGGATTACTTCAGCCCTTATAGATCTATTGTTAGGCTCCAACAGAACAAAAGAAGCATACGTTGCTTCACGGTGTTAGTAACTACTGTACATGTGGTTAGTGGATGGTAATCTGGCCACAAATTGCAATCTTGGCCTAACAAATTTACCACAAGGGAAAAAATGATGTTGAAAGTTCTCATCTGCTGATACTGTACATCTTAGAAATTGCGTACTGTGGTGGCCAGAAAAACGGTAAGTCTGAAACCGATCATGTTTTTTGGGTGTTTATTTCCAGCAGTAAGTAAATTGTGGACTGGCCACTGTTGCCGGTGTGTGGTAGAGGTGCTGCCCCATCAATACAAAAATCATTGGATGCCCTGGGAACCAGCACAGATGGTCCCAGATGCATCACGCATAGGAAACAGCATCCAAGGACAGGACACCAGCTGCATCGCTATAATACCTGCACATAATCTGGTGTGAACCAGCCGGCCCAATAGGCGAGTGCACCGATGGAACAGCCTTTATAGCCTTTGCAGGCCTCTGAAAATAAAAGCCCCTAATCTTTCTCTGCCCTGGAAGCTCCCTGAACAGTTAAATGCAAATGGTTTCCCCTGTGCCTCTTTATGTGCCCCATAAATACTTGCCCACACTTGATCAACGACCTTTTTGAGTGGTTCGATGTAACTGTTCATGTACCTTAGGCCCAGCATGCATTAAAAGATCAATGTCTGATAGGGTGTATCAGGCTAGACCTGATACAAGGTTGTTCAAAGATAACAATATTGTTGGATTTATCATGCAAGTTTGCACAGTGACTGAATTTACTGGTACACAGGAGTGAACCAGTATCACTTCCGTTACAGGAACAGACAAGCAGAGACTGTTCCCTTGTATCTCAAAGTTATACTTTTATTTCATACTTCAAAATGTTAAAGGCTGCTCTGCTTGACTTTCAGTAAGTTGTTTGTGGGCACTTTATCTCAACTGTACATGTATGTTATTGATTATTATTAATATTACTCACACTTACAAAGCCTGTTATTCCCTGAAGCTCTAAGGTGCTTTACAATCAGTTAAAACGATAAATATTTCAATATACATATAATTATTAAAGACAGTGTGTTAAAAGCAATAAGTTGTACACAGACACAATCCAAAAAGCACTCACATTGAATGTGGCATTACATAAATTCACATTAAAGACCACCACCTAAACAAAATACTTCTTAAAAAATTTGGTTTAAGATTCTTCTGAAAGGATTGCACTGTGGGACTTAATCAAAGCTCCAGTATGTTCACCGGGACCACAATATTGCAGATTTTAAATTGACTAATTCATAAGGTTTTGTGGCAGGCTACGCATATTTTTTGAATTTGCAGTACTTTTTCTTACTGTAGGCAGAGGAAATTAAAATGAATATAATTTGTAAAGTTTAATGCCTTCTTCTTGTAGTAGCTCAAGTATGATCAAAGCAAATCTTGGAGGTAGTTCACATGTCGAAAGCGTACACCAGTCACTTTCCTTTTAACATGAACTTCAATTTTTTTTACTTGTGGGACCTCGTGTGTCAATCTTGCATGCTTTCTGCTTGTTCCATGGCATGTCAGTTGATATATGTACTCTGTGGCAGTTGGAGACTGGATGAATCCAGTCCCAGTGCAAGATAACCTTCAGGAATGAAAAAGGAGATTTGAGATTCATCTTGAGCCAAAAGAAAACAACACAAGTTGGCTTCTGTGCATTTGTGATTTTTTTTCTTTTCCTTTATCTTTTCCTTTCCTTTTCTTTCTTTTCCTTTTTGGGAGAAGGGGGGTATTACACTATCACCTGACATTTTCAGGGTGGAATGTGTAATTAAAATAAGTCAAGTGTGTATCTTAATTCAGGAGAGAGGAGGGTTTTTTTTTTCATCAAAAGCCCGGCCTGCTTGCACACTCAAAGAGCCAAGCTGTTACGAGGATGTCATTTAATTTGGTTGATCCACCAAGCCGCCGGGCACATCTTGGCATCCAGTGATGAGAAGAAGCTGCCCGAGGAGGTAAAAGACGACGGAGGAGAAGGAGGATGCACAATTCACAAAAAAGACGAGAGAGGGGAAAAAAAAAACTAAGCTGGAGATACAGTGGCAGGAAATGATGACGCTCAGCAATCGGGGGTAACCCAGTAGGGTTGGCTCGCATCAAAAGAAATGTTTAAACTTGTCCCGTGAAGTGGGAATATCAATATATCCAAAGAGAGTAGGACCTCCATCGTGGCAAGAGAGAGGAGGAAAATTTTGTTTTTGGCCTGAGGTGGCCAATGAAAGAATTAAGAACTATGGGACACCCATGCATGTACATGCAGGGGAGCTGACTGTCATAGATAATTGGGCCATCGGGGACCGGCTGCTCGTTGAATCCGAAGTCTTCCATGATGTTGTTATTAATTTGTGTGTGTGTGTGTGTGCATCCAAAAACCATTTTATCCTGCTTTGTGGGTTGATACTATCATTGTTGCCTTGGGGAGGGGGGCATTTGAGCATTGTAGTGAGTGCTTTCCTCATTTTTTGCCCAGTTTTAGAACGGGGGAAAATTTAATGTCAGTGTAAAATGTTGATGTACATGTAGGTTCAAGTACCATTCAGAGAAGAGTCTAAGTTGTTGGAAAGAGTCTGGGTGATTGTTGGAAAGAGTCTGGGTGATTGTTGGAAAGAGTCTTGGTGATTGTTGGAAATTTATCTGATTATTGTCTGTCAGCTTATATTTGACACACTAAAACTAAATTTTTTCTTTACAACATGAAAACCACCGAGAATTTCTAAACATCTGATGTTGAAAGACTTATTGAAAAATAATGCAAGTGATTTTGTTTCATGTTTGAATGAAACCAGGCCCATTGTTTTTTTAAGAAAGGAGGCACTTCAAAGGTACTTTTTGCTATGTGCAGAAAGAGAGATGTGTTCATATGACGCAGTGACAAGATCTCCGTGTAGTGTAGTTGCCTCCAAAAGACCACCAGTACAACCTGCGATGAATGCATGTACATGTAACTGTGCTATCATTGGTAACAACTAACAAATGTTGACCACTGTGGTGCGCTCCGAAGCAAAGCCCGAGGTGTTGTCCTACCTCTGTTTTGAGGAATTTATCCAAAGAAACAAGCTCTGAATTTCAGAAGACGACAGGCCTACTGTCAAACTGTACATGTATAATTAACCTAACAGACATAAACGATATCATCTGCAAATGCACCATTCCCTCGCTTTCTTTAATTGTGTAAACCTTAATGTGAAACTATTGCGGGTACCAGTGAGTACATGCAGAGAGGTTAGTGATCCCCGCATCATGGGAACAAGTCTGTCATACGAGCGCTATCATTGATCAAATTCCCTGGTAGCCTATGCACAAAACGTATCATGGGTACCACGCAAAACTGACTAATAAACAATGGAACGGAAATGTTTGCTCTCGAACTTCCCAAAGCTCTCCTGTGTCGCGCACATGTGTGGGCAGGCTCTATCAGCAGAATTGAGATATCTCACGGTGAGTGTGATATATGCGGAATACATGTATATATCGCCCTGTCATGTGATCGTTCTGGGCCAATAAACGGACAGTACCCAAGACAGGGGTATGACAATGCAACTTCTGTAAATA